GGGGGGGGGGGGGGGGGGGGGACGCCGAGGAGAGGAAGGTCAGACACACAGCACGGCAGGCTCCCTCTCTCCCCCTTTCTCTCTCTCTCTTGGCGGAAAGGAAAACACAAAAGGCCGGAAGAACGACCGTACAGTCACCCTCGAAACCAACGAAGGACACCGGCAGCGAGCAGGCCGAGAAGCGCAGCTCGCCGCTCGGGTCCTGGCCGTCCGGCCGCACGCGAACCTCCAGCCTGGGCCGCACGCCGGCAAGTGGGTTAGTGGCCGGAGAAGGGAAGACAGTGCCAACACGAGGGAAAGACATGGGCAAGCAGGGCCCCGACACGATTGACACACCGAATGAAGATTGGATGCTCCCAGATGCGCGGATCGTCCGATGCCAGTGGGAAGGGCTGGCTGTCGAGGCTCAGGGCCACCCGGCCGGGATGGATCCCCGGTCCCGGGCCACCGGGCACACTGGCTAGGGCCGACTCCCCGGGTCCCGGTGGCCCGGCCTCCGACCCGCAGACTATCCGCTCGGCAAGGCCTTCCATTGGGCCGGCACCAGCGGAGACCGACGCCAGTGTGGATCCACCGCTGGCACTGCCGCCACCAGTGGTGGTGGCGGTACCGCTGCTGCTGCTGCTGCTGCTGCTGCTGCTGGTGCTGGTGCTGGTGTTGTTGCTGCTGCTGCTGCTGCTGCTACTGCTGGTGCCGCTGCTACCGGGAGTGCCGGCGGCGGTGCCAGAGGTGCCACCGCCGCTGCCGACGCCGGCACCGGCACCGTTGCCAGTGCCGACACCACTGGCGCCACAGCCGTTGCTGCCACCGCCAGCGTTGCTGCCGCCGCCGCCGCCGCTACCGCTGCCGCCGCTGTTGCTGTTGCTGCTGCTGCTGCTGCTGTTGCTGCCAGCGCCAACCCCAACGCCGGAGCCGCAGCCGGTGACCGAGGCGCTGGCCATGCCAGACTGTTCGGCCCCCGGCCGCCAAGTGAACACCAGGAACTGGCGCCCATCCAGGGCGACCGTCTGCACGGGGCGCAGTTGCCCGGCCAGGACCTCGGCAAAGAAGCCCCGCTGGATGGCCAAGCGCAGGCGACCGGCGGTATCGCACTCGGTGGCCGACTCCGGCGTCGCCGGGCCGCATGACGCCGCCACGATGTTTGCCAGATGCGTGCAATCCACCGTCTGCCGGCTGGCAGCACAGTTTAACAGGCACCGGGACAGATCGGCCCGATTGACCAGCGCGGCCGCCTTCTCCGGCGAGTCGGCCCCAGCCAGGGCCGAGTACACCCCGCGGATGAAGGAGAACCGGTGCAGCGCTGTCAGCATGGGGACGAGAATCTGTCATCCGTGGCCGACGCCAGGCCAAAGAGCCGGAGGCACATGCCACAAGGTGATCGGGTGAAGGGATGAGTGGTTGAGTGGGTGGTCGGGCGGGGAAATGAGCGGTTGAGCAGGTGAGTAGGTGATTGAGCAGGCAAGTGCACAAAGAGGCGGGCAAGTCCGCGAGACAGTGAGACAGCGCATGCGTGCATGGACAAGCAGCACAGGGGGGGGGGTGCACGAGCGAGCAGCCAGCTCCACGGGCGGAGCGTCAAGAGGCCAAATGCAGCCGACGATGAGGAAGGGAAGACCGGCGACAAGGACGGAAAGACGCACATTCGAAGACTTCAGCTGCGCCTCGGAGGAGGACCCCGCGCCCAGGGGGGCCGGCTCGTCGCCCGGACCGGTCGGCGCCGGCTCCGACAGCGACGACAGATCCAGCAACGAGATGCCGGTGTGGCCCCGGCGGAGGAGCGGGCTCCCGGCGCTCGGGGACTGCCCCAGGTCGGTCAGCTCCCCGAGCATGGCCAGCATGGAGGTCGGCTCGAAGAACAGGGGCCGGTGCGTCTCAAACACAATGACCCCGATGGCCGGGCCAAAAACCCGGCCCGCTGGATGGCCCTGATCGCCGGCCGAGCGCGGCCCCAGGACAAAGACAAACTGGTGACACTCCTCGTCCAAGCGCCGGACAAAGCCGCGCGAGGCTTGCAATGCCGCCTGCAGGACCTCGGCCGTGGGCTTGCGCGGGAGTGGCACTCGCAGACAGGCGGACAGGGCCTCCGGCCGGTCGACCTCGCCCCCAGGCCCCGGGTGCTCCGGGAACAGTGGCAACAACGACCGGACCAGCGACAGGGGGAAGCTCATGCAGGACCGCGGGAGTTCCAGGTGCATGAGCTGCCCGCCAATCGGGGCCCCGGCGGCGGCCAGCTGCCGGGCCAGCTGCCCCCCAAGCGGCGCCACCAGCGACGAGGCGAACAGCTCGAAAAGGCGGACATTGGCCCGGAGGCGGTCCACCTGGACGGCCGAGCCGGCGGGCGGCGTCGGATTTCCCGGGCACGCCAATTGCGCCGCCTCCAGGCCACGTAGCCCGTCGGCGAGCCCGGGGCCCAGCTGGCCCGGGGCAATCAGCCGGAAGGCCATGCAGCCGACCTTGGCCGAGCGCAGGAGCGATGCCAGCTCGAAGCGCTCGCGCTCGATGGACAGGGTCGAGCCGGTCCGGTGGAGGAAGGCCTGCTTCTCGCCGGGGCCCGCGGCGAAGCCGGGAATACTGGTCAGGAGGCCGGCCGCCGGGCCCGGACCCACCGACGGGGCGGCATCCAGGGTGACGGCCGCCGCGCTGGTCGCCGCGCACCTTTCCGCCAGCAGGGCAATGCGCGCGTGCGAGCAGCACTCCGTCCAAATGGCCCGGTCCTCGGTGTCAATGATTCGGCCGAGAGCCACCGCCGAGCAGGCCAGGCCGGCCCCCTGGGCAAAGCCCATTCCCCGAGCAAAACGCGACTCGGCCCACAGCCGCACTCGGACCGCCCCGCCGGGCAGGGTTTCCAGCGCGTAGAGGGCCGCCACGGCCGGCTGGCGATCCGGATGGTCGGCCAGCGCGATGGCCTGCGCCACGGACCCACGCGCACGCAGCGCCAGCAAGGGCACCTCATGATAGAAGAGCCGTCCCCCGGGCGACTCGGCCACCACGGAGAAGCCCTGGGCCAGACGTCGCCGGGCCAGGCTGGCCAGGAAGAGCTCCCGGCGCCAGACAGCCTGTGGGCCGTCAGCCTCCGGCCCGGTGCTGCTGGGTGCAGAGCCGGCCGACCCCGGCAGCCAGATCCACTGGCGGAGCTTCAGCAGTGAGGGGGTCGGCGCGGCGGTTGGCAGCGAGAAGACCAAGCTCCGGGCCTGGGCCGTCATGTTGGCCGAGGGTGACACCATGGACTCGAAGTAGCGCGCTGGGAGCGGCTCACACCGAGCCAGATCCGCCGGCAGCGGATGCAGCAACATGGAGAGGGGCTGTTCCAAGCATGTGTGTCATGATGCGTAATGAACAGACAGGCAATCCGAGAAAGGGTGAGAGGGAGAGTTGGAGAGGGGGAGAGGGGGAGAGAGGGAGAGAGGGGGAGAGAGGGGGAGAGAGGGGGCGAGAGGGGGAGGGGGAAGAGAAAGGAAGAAAGAGTGAGAAAGAAAGAACGAGAGGGGGAAACAACCACACACACACACACACACATAGAGAGAGAGAGAGAGAGAGAGAGACGCACCATCGAGCAAACACGCGCCACGTCCGACCCAAGACGGTTGATGAAGGCACGGAGGAGATTGACCTCGCGCGCGCGCACCCGCGCATCCGGCACCCGGAAGAAGAAGAGCTCCACCCGCACCACGCGCGGGGCACTCCACATCAGCTGCAATGCCACGAAGCCCTCCTCTTCCTGCTGCGGCTGCTGCGACTCAAGGCCGTCGGTCGGCAGGGCCGGCCCGGTGGCCGAGTCGCCCGGCGCGGCGAGCGACGCCAGGGCCGACGACCCTGCCACCGCCCCCACAGGCGCGCCGGACACCGACGAGGAGGACGCCGACGAGGAGGACGCCGACAGCGAGGATGCCGACGAGGAGGACGGCGAGTCCGGCTCGGGGAAGGCGCCCAGAGCGGCTGGCTCGCTGAAAACCGGCCTCTCGAGGCCGATCCACCCGCCAGCCGGGCAGGTGGTCACCACCGGCGGCAGCCAGGTCGTGGCGATGACGCCATTCGAGCCTGCCCCCGGCCGCCCGGTCGGAGTGTGGCCCCCGGCCGTCGGCGAGGCCGAGGGGCTGCCCCGACGCGAGGCAGGAACCGATCCCCCGCGTGAGGCCGCGGCCGTTGCCCCGGGCGACAACCCGGCGCCCAGCCACCCGGGCCCCGGGAACTCCCCCAAGTGCCCATGCTGGCCGTGCTGCTGGTGATGCACCTCGGCCGCGGCGGCCAGGGCCACCGAGGAAGGCCCGGGCCCGGCACCGGGACCCGCGGCAATTGTCCGCACCAGGGTGTTCGACGCCACGGCCAGGCTGGCCCAGTGTTCAAGCAGGGCCCCGGCCAGTTGGCCGGCCGGCGAAGAACTGGCCGACGACCCGGCCGACGGCCCGAGGACCACGGTGAAGCGCGCACGCGAGAAGGACGTGAACAGCGGCTCCGACAGGGGGTCCGTGTCGATGCCGGTGGCCGACACCGGAAGCAATCGAGCCGCGGTGTCCCGCCCGCCGGAGGCCGCGGCCCCGGCATCCACATCCACCGAGGGCAACGGCGACACCAGGTGCGTCAGGATGCGCTGGTGGTACTGGGCCGAGATGAACATCAGCGCGATGCGGTGCCAGTACGAGAAGAAGGACTGCTCGCCCTTGAGCGGCTGGATGCCAAACAGAGGGCCCGAGTCGGAGACCACCATCCCGGCGTCCAGCCCCGACGGGGGGTCCGGGGCCGAGGAGGAGCCGGAGGAGGACGAGGAGGAGGCAGCGGATGAAGAGGAGGAGCCGGAGGAGCTGGAGGAGATCACCTCGCGCCCGGGCCCCGGAGGCCGACCAACATCGGCCCCCGAGCCCAGGGACTCGGGCCCCGACAGCAGGGGGACCTTTGTCGGGGCGCCCGGCCACCCGGACTCCGAAGGCCCAGGCGGCTCGCGCCACAAGGACAAGGAAGTTCCCTCCGACGGGGCCGACGCCATGGGTCCCGAGGACCCGGACTCCAGGCCAGCCATGTGGTCGAATTGCGGCGGCACCACGACCTCGTGCGCGCCGAACTGAGACGCGCGGAAACGCAACGGCACCGAGCACACCCCCTCAGGCGGGATGGCGACTGCATAGGGCAACGGGAACGAGAGGGGAAGAGGGAGGGGGAATGGAGGGACAGAAACAGCGTCAGGTACATGGAGTGCGGACGAGCGCGGAATCCGGAGGGAGCCATTGGACATGGAGAGGAAGAAACAGGGGGAGAGAGAGAGAGAGAGAGAGGGATGCATGGACAGGATGATGGGGGTAAACCGGAACAACACGACCGCGGGAGGTCTGGAACGCACAAAGAAGACCGAAGTGGCGATCTGCCTCGAGGACCGACTCCAGAGTGCTGCGCACCTGCAGCGACGAGGCATAAAGCCGGATGTTGGTGGCTGACACCGGAGACGGGCTGCCCGACCGGGCGAGGGCGCCGGTCGCATCCGGCTCGGCGCTGGCCTCGTGCGCCACGGCAGCAGCCGTCGCCGTCGGCTGCGTGCCAGACACCAGGGGCTGGGGCTGCTGGCCCGGGGGCACGGCCGTCGAAAGCATTGCCCCCTGGCCGGTGGTGGCGGCCGAGGGCGTGGCCACCGCGGTCGGCGGCACGCTCGACCCCATCATGCCCGGGCCGCTGATGGCGTCCTGCTCGAAGTAGCGCTGAGCCGCGGCCTCATAGGGGTCGCACGGACGGCCGAGGGCCGGACGCTTGCGCGGCGGCTGGTCCAGGGAAACACTGAGAGGCTCGAAGGAAACCCGGCCCCCGCCATTGGTCGGCGCCGGCCGACGCCGGTCACCCGAGCTCAGGACCAACGCATCGCCGGCCGGGGACGAGGCGGCCCCGGCATCGGCCGGGGCGCCGGCCAGCCCGTCCTCCGGCATCGGGGACCGGAGGTGCTCATACAGCCCGGACGCCTGGGCCGTGGCCGTCAGGGAGATGGCCTCGATGAGGGCCTTCCAGCCGCGCAGGAGGATAACCACCTCCGAGTGCTGGCGTGCCGCATCCTCCTCCGAGTGGGGGTCCACCAGCAACGGGTCGGTGTCGGGGAAGCCGGAAGACGGGTCGACCCCGGGGCCCGAATCGTCGCCATGCTCCCCGGGCCCATCTTCCTCTTCGCCATACTCGTCATAGTCATAGTCCTCATCGTCGGTGTCCAGGTCGTTGCCCCCGTCGAGGGTGAACCCCCGATCGTACATGGCCAGGTCCTCGGAGTCCTCGCACTCGGAATCCTCATGCTCGCCGTCGCTGGGGCCCGAGTCCGAGGACAAGTGGCTGATGCCGATGTCGGCGCCCAGGCGCCCGGGACGCCCGGCGGCCCCTGTCGAAGTCCCCAGGCTGGCCAGCAAATCCGGCGAAGACCCGGACCCGGAGACGGCCAGCGCCTCGATGCCGGTTGCAGGGCTGACAGCCAGCGCGGGGACCGACCGGCGCCGACGCGTGCGCGTTTCCTCCGGCCGACCGTCCGGGGTGAGGGGCGACCGTGGCGGCCCGGCGCGATGGTCGCGCGGGGTCACCGCCCCTGCACGGGCCCCCCCCCGGCCGCGGGGGCCAGCTGATCCGCCTGCTGGTGACAGGGGGCTGGTCGATGAGGCACTCCGGCCGAGGCCGCCGCTGAGAGGCGACGCCGAGGCCACCGGCGACCGGCGCCCCCCGTGCAGCTCATCCAGCGATCCAGACGGGGTGGTGGAAGTGCCCTCATGGCCGGGGCCCCGAGAGCGGGGGCCACGGCTGCCGTCCATGGCCGGACGCCGGGAGGCAGCCCCAGCCCGCTGGGCGAGGGCCCGCGCCCGCCGGACCGCCTGCCGGTTGTCCGGCACCCGTGAGTGAATGTGATACTCCAGGCAGGCGCCCGGGCGGAGGAGAAGCATCAGCCGAATGAGCAGCTGATGGAGAGACCCAT